AACCTCCATGTGTAGAGTTCGTGGCAGGCGCAGCACTTTGTGAACCTTGATGTGCAGATTTCGTGGCAGGCGCAGCACTTTCTTTGGCGCTTTTTGGGTTTATCTAGGTTGTAACCAGACTTATAACCACTTAGGTCACGCTGATTTCCTGCAGACTTAGCGGGAGTTATAACTGACTTAGGATCACTTAGCTCCGCGGCCACGTTAACGCACGAGGATTGACCACGTTTGGAGCACAAGGGTTGCAAAAAAACATGCTATGTTAAGTTGAACAACCATACGGGAACCAAACAAAAGCAGGTCAAACGCTTTTTCCAACAGTTGGATGATCTAATATGTTGGAGTATTTCTGTTGAAAGACTACCGCTGTATTGAAACAAAAGGCAAGAACAAATATAGATCATTTCTTTTGCTTTTTTGGCCCCACAGTCGTCTGGGAATGCTGTAGCAGCCTACTTCAAAATATCAAGGAGAAAGTTTGTTGCTTTAGACACGCAAGGTGGTGAATACAACCTCTTGACTAACACAAACATAAACAACCAGTGCAGAACCAGTTCTTTGTTTGAAGAGACAAGCCGTTCCAACAAGGTACAGTGAAAATAATTTCGATCGTCACTTACTGGAACTTTTTGAAATTTGGATTTGCTAAGCGTCTGGCGGAGGTGCATCCTTCTGCGTCATCACCAGATGAAAAGTTGAGACATCCCAAGACATCCCCGAACAAAACAAACAGTTTTGAGTGGAAAATGCAAATTTCAAGGTTTTAGTCCTGATACGGCCCTGATACGGCTCTGATACGGCTCTGATACGGCCCTGATACGGCCCTGATACGGCCCTGATACGGCTCTGATACGGCTCTGATACGGCCCTGATACGGCCCTGATACGGCCCTGATACGGCATTTTTTGCGAGAGCGGTTTTTCAAAATTGGGCCATAATTCTTTTGGGGAACATCATAATTTGGAAAAATTGGGCCATAATATATTTTGCGGGCATCATATTTTTGTAACAAACGAAGCCTCATCTTTTTTGGTTCAACAAAGAACTTGGCAGCAGATAAATGCATCAAATGTGTGGCTTGATAAATTGAAAACAATGCTGTCAGTACAAAACAGATTTGACGTGAGCCTCTTCCAACGAAACAGCCAGTTCTGACAAAAGCCGGTCAAAGAAACCCAGAGCCCCAGAGTCGACTGGTTGAAGTACTTCCTGCAGGAAACTCTTTGTATATACCAGCACAAGATAGACAAGAAACAAGGTGGATCTAATCCAATTTGTTCACACGTAGACGCAGCTGACATAGTCGGAGTTGAGCTCTTTGACGAATATCTTCTTAGATAGTTGTTGGCCCGTTTCTTGAATAAAAGCAGGGTTGAATGAAAGAATGGAATAATGCTGGCAGAAAATGTCTGCGCGCAAGCGACAAAAGAAACGAAACGCCCTCACAAAAAAGGAGTGGAAAGGAACGCTCAAAAAATGTGAAAAAGTTTACATAATTGGGAAACCCACGAGAAGCCTATGGACTTAGCTCACTTAGCTAAGTCCACTTACAACCACTTACCACGTTGGATTCTCTTTGAACCTAAGTCCACTTACAACCCACCTAACCAGATGCAAGTCACTTGTAAAGTGTGCATCACTTATAACTCAAGTATATCTCACGTAGCATGGTTGTAAGTATGCTTGACTGGGTTGTAAGTCCAGATAGCCAAGTTATAAGTCAAGTTGTAAGCCAGCCAATTACAAAAGGCACCAAAGTTGTGAACCTCCATGTGCAGATTTCGTGGCAGGCACAGCGCTTTGTGAACTTCCATTTGCAGATTTCGTGGCAGGCGCAGTACTTTGTGAACCTCCGTGTGCAGATTTCGTGGCAGGCACAGCACTTTGTGAACCTCCTTGTGCAGACTATGTGGCAGGCACAGCACTTTGTGAACCTCCATGCGCAGATTTCGTGGCAGGCACAGCGCTGTGTGAACCTCGAGGTGCAGATTTCGTAGCAGGCACAGCGCTTTGTGAACCTCCATGTGCAGATTTCGTAGCAGGCACAGCACTTTGTGAACCTCCATGTGCAGATTTCGTGGCAGGCACAGCATCTGTGGAGCTGGAAGATGAGAACTGGCGACTTTTTAGTACAACTTTAGTACGCGGAGTATCTGCGGAGCTGGAAGATGAGAACTGGCGACTTTGTAGTAGAACTTTAGTAATTTTAGTACGCTGAGCAATCTGTGGAGCTGGAAGCTGAGAACTGGCGACTTTGTAGTACAACTTTAGTACGCGGAGTATCTGGGGAGCTGGAAGATGAGAACTGGCGACTTTG